GATGATTCAATAGCCGTCAACATTCGGCTATGTTCGGAAACGTTCGCCCAACCACGTGACGCTTATCGGGAAATATGGCGTGAAGTTGGCACGAAGATGGTTGACGTGAGTTACGAAAGAGTAAGACCATTTCTCGCGGGGAAGGTGCTTCCCAATCGTGCGGAAAAAGTACCGCACTTCGATTTTTCCCTCGGACACAGCCAGTGGAAAGCAGTACGATGATATACGATATCAAATGGATCATACCGAAGCTTCGAAATCCGAGCAAACTATGGAACATCGCAAGCAGTATAACCTTCGCAGCAGTAGGGATTTTCTCTAAAATCTTCATAGGTATGTAAGCAATTGTTTTAGCCGGTTTTTAAATCAAAATCAGTACTGTTTATCCCTCTACCTTGCTGTGCACGTGTATTAAAGATAATTTTAATTGATATTCTCTTTTGTGTCAAGCAAAAGTTCTATATTTTTAAATATTGTATATAGGTAGTAACAAATATAAAAATCAGGCGTCAAGTTACCATAGAGAATATAATGTTACTTTGCGGCTAGCCGTGCGAATTATTACAATAGGAAAAACAATACTGATTTATGTGATAGTGAAATAATTCACGAAATCATCTTATTTAATCACATTGATAGTCATCTTTCCTTTATAATAATAATTTTATTAAGCATGATGTCCAAAGATATTTTGATTGTATTTTATAATAATACTGAGAATGAGAATCTTTTCTCGCAATCTTTTTTTTTAATGTAAGTTATACATGCAAATCGATATTCGAAAAATATATCGATAAAAATGCTTGAAATGCGCCGATAGGTTAACTATACAGTATTATCAGACACATCATTTCTTATCAATTAAAATAAAAATCAGTATATATGATCTTTCAATCTCATTGTCTGTTCCAAGGAAAAAAGTAAGCAATAAATTTTAGATAATGCATACTTCTTACGTGTACACGTTTAATGTATTGAAATATTTGCGTCATTGTATATGTTTGAATCTAATTACTGTTCATTTTCAGTTATCTGACAAATTATATTGCACTAATGTATGTAAGGTATTTTATCTGTAAATACTTATTATGCACATTTCTAATGTGCCCTACCGTCTTGTTGCAATTTTCAAATTTGACGCGCATCTTTGAAAAGTATATTTTAAACAAAACTGAAGCAATCATAAAACACGTGACTGATAGGTATGACGCTACATCAAATCGAACATTTATAAATTGCAAAACTATCCATATTTAAGATACACAATAAACGCAGCAATTGAAATATTATCTTCTAATATTATCTACGTATTTTTAAGTCACGCAAATACGTAATCGACGTATGCTTATTTCTAATCTCCACGATTAGCCAAGCTATGTCACACTATTCTAGGAAAAAAGAAATAGAAGTCTGTATCGTGCCATTTTCTGCGATTGGTCTTTCTAATTTCAGTTAAGATTGCGTACACATTATTGCCCAACAAAGGGCCCAGGAAACCAGCCATTGGCTTACGCTGACCTTTCAGTGAGTACCACTGTACTCATCAGTGTACACTGATTTTACGAGCACGGCTCGATGTTGACTTAGTGACGATACAATAAAGTTCGGAAATTAAACGCATTACTCAATTGGTCGGTCAACTAGAGTCGACATACGCTATCATCCCTCTCCTTACCTATCCCTTCCTCCTTTGACCATCATCTTTTATTCGTGGGCATTGATATAGTTTTTGCTTTCTTTTAATAAAATACCGTTTGAAAAACAAAATTCCTCAGGTAGAATAGGGATTCGCAAAATTGCCACCTGGTGGTGTGTACGGGAATCATCATTATGGACATACAAGGTCATTCAAGATCACAAAACATGTTGCATATTTTGCACCGTCACTTTCCTCGGCAGGCACTCAAACCTGCTATCGTTTCGTTATGTATTCTCGACCTTGAATGACATTGTACAAAGGTCGTTGAACTTGTCATGAAATTGAATGTCCACTTAAAAGTAAAAGTCGCGTGATACGTACGTAAATTGCCAAGATAGTTTCGCAACTGGTGTCGTTTTTATTAGAACGATTACTCTAATGGTACTAATAGCAAGGACTTCGAGTTCCAATTATTACAGGCAACGAAGCGTAAGTAATGGAATTATATTGAAGTTCTGGTATTTGCTAGAATGCTAAGGCTACTCAGTCAGAAGTCGAAAAGAGATTATTAATAATTATATGACAATTAATTTCGATGTTTCAGAATGGCTGAATAAAACGACGGTGTACAACAAGCATGTCATTGAACAGGCGTTAAACTGTCGACCAAGAAATAGGCCTCTCATCACGGTATCGAACCATTATAGTTGCTTCGATGATCCTGGAATATGGGGTAAGTTCCCACATACTGCTTGGGAACACAGTTTGACCACCTTAACCGTTCTGTGTTAAGCACTCGACACTATTCTATCAACTCTTGTTATTACAGACGTTCGATTGTGCACTTGAAACAATAGAATGACAACCTTACGTGACACTGCGTTTTTTCAGGTTCTCAGAGATGCGTCTGTTTCGTTTGTTACGTTCTACGAGGAACAACTGGAAGTATATTCTGGCGATCAGGATGAAGAAGTTAATAGACAAAGAATTCCTTGTTTACCTCAGTCGTTTCCCCTGATTTAAAAGTATTTCAAGTAATAATAATGTACATAAGGAAGAAAAAAGTATTAATAAGCTTAAGATCTGCACAACAGAATCTACTTCCGGTTATATCGTTGTATATTCTTTTGTGAGAACGAAATAATGCAGTGCGCGTTAAAGGTCACGATGCATCATTTATAATGTATTTGAACCAAATGCAACTGGGTTCGTTGTATCTATAGTGTCGATTATTTTGACACGCTCGACAATCCCCTTTCCTGAAACATATATAATCTTTTCTTCCTCAGAATGACGTCGATAAAGCGATCGAATGAAAGAATTTAAGACAGAAAAATCTCTGAACTCATTTAGCGACACTGGACCTGAGGTATCTGCTGAAACCACGTAAGATGCGATGGTCGCTCGCCGCGCACGACATTTGTTTCACGAAAACTTGGCATTCCTACTTGTTTATGCTGGGCAAATGCATTCCTGTGATCAGAGGTGCTGGAGTGTACCAAGAAGCGATCAATTTCTGCATCGAAAAGCTGGCTGTCGGGGAATGGATTCACGTTTTCCCCGAGGGAAAAGTGAATATGTTTAAAGAGAACATGAGGTCAGTCGTTGGATTTTCCTCGATTTTAATCACCGATATAAAATTATTGCAACGTATCATGAAATATTCATAGAAACTTGGCACATTGTTTTATTTTGCAGATTGAAGTGGGGTGTTGGCAGGTTGATATTCGAATCACCCGTTCCTCCACTAGTGATTCCTATTTATCACCTTGGTATGGACCAAGTTCTTCCTAACGAAGTGCCGTATAGATTAAGAATTAAGAATAAGGTCACCATAAACTACGGTGACCCCATAGATTTTACTGAATTACTAAAAGAATTGCGTACGTCGAAAACGAACGAAATCGAAGCGAGGAAAGCGATCTCTGATCGTATCCAAACAGAGCTTCTCAAGTAAATTTCACTTTTACATGTATACAGAGCAAAAATTTTGGATAAAATATAATACTTAATGGTGCAATATCTGTTGCAGACTGAAGACAGTGACAGAAGAACTTCATGAAACTACGTGATATCAAATTAGGGGCAAGCCGTATCGTCATCCTTAGTTAGCTTTAATTTGCCAAAAAATAAAATGTTAATTTTTATTTGACAATAGGCGATTCTGATACACAGCTTTTGATTAGAGACAATCATCTATGAACGACACATTAATAACATAGCATGTATCGGACAATAATGATTCGGGATTCCTGAAGAAAGCGCTGTGCTCGTGTGGCACTTTTCCTTAAAGTTTAATTTAGATACGAGTCTTGCTGACTTCATTCAGAATGCCATGTACGTTTCGCGATTACCTCATCGCATACGTAGCAATGTATATACGACATAGAAAAAACTTGAACACACAATCACAAATCACAGGAGCTCGTGAAATAGTATTAAACCGTGCTACCGTACAGTTTGTTTCTATACATCCGAGACCTGATCATTTTATAGTATTTATACTTTGTGATTGCACAATTAATGTTACAATTTTACACATCCGCCGAATTTATTACGCGTATACTAAGAAATATTTTATACTGCTGCGCATCATTTGAATACAATTATATTAAAAGGAAAAGAAATTGAATCGAACGAATGATATTAAATCCCAATTTTATCAAGCTTTGAAAACGTCTAACTATTCAGCTAAAATAGACAAAATCAAACTGCATTATTTATAATTATCATTGCACGTTTAGACAGCTGTATTTGTATATGTATATTTTTGATATAAGGGTTTACAGTATAATATTAAAGATACTTACAATCGATGATAAAAATACTGCAGAGATATGCATATCTTGTATTTATTAAATTTTCATTGTAAGTAGTAAAATATTTCCTACATGAAAACTATTTTCTTGCATTTTATATTCAGTATTGGGTTATTATTCAAAGTATAATGTGATATTTATTTTTTTTTACACAATTGTTTTGTTGTAATAAATTATTTTGCACATCGTAGTATTTCGTTCGAGAAAACATGCAGATTGTTTCAATTGTCACACATTAGCGAGAGTAACGTTTCTCGTAAATAACTAGTCTAATTTACTAATGTATTTATTATTACATCTGAAGATTTTCGAATTATGTAAGTGACATTTTGTCATCAATAAAGATAGATCTTTTTTATTCTGATGTTACAGTTGTTGATGAAGGAAATATTTACATTACTCTAAAATGCAGAATAGCATTTACATGGACAGTTCAACAAATTACATTTGAAATCATTATTGTATATGAAAAGTGTGACTATATTACATGTTCTCGTTTACGATATTCACAGATAAATCTTGTACATATATATTTTTCATTCTTTTTTCTGACATATAGAAATAGATTACATCATTGTTTACTGTCATGATGTTACTACTCTCCAATGGAAAGTTCGCATGTATCTTGGCACATCTTTTCTTTTTTGCAGAAACAGACAATTCTGATTCTACGAGTGATATAATGAAAGCAATACACGATACTCATTTTTATTACAAAACGAATAGGACCTGTATTTTAATACGTCACATACACTATAAACTTTAAATAGACAGAACGGTATGTAATACCAACGAGACAAAATTTGTGTAGTACACATTAAATATATGTATATGTATACATCACTCTCATTTTATCACTTATCGTTTGAATTTTATCTAGGTTCACACGAATAAATTTCCAAGAATGATATAACAAATTGATTAAAAATGTTCGATCGCGAAACTTGGATCGAAACATTTGAATTTCATTGAACTTCAATGATAAAGGTAATCATATCTACCCGTACTCGTAATTAAGATACTATACATTATTTTCACGAATAATAATAACACATGATTCTAAATAATTCCATTCCTCTAATTGCTTTAAATACAATAGCGTCAATAAGAAGTTGAATTGATATTTTTTTGTGATACGATATATAAATATGATGTACAAAAGAACATCATTCTAAAGATTCTTTCACATTTTAATAAATTCTTTACATTTTCGGATCCATCTTTGGACGGTGTTCAAGGAATAAAAGTAACAACAAATAATATTTAAATATTGCTCAATTCTAACAACGATTCATGCTACTAACATACATAAATAGGATTATTTTGTACACAACTGTTTGTAAATACATGATTTATAACTACTTGGTTTTGGAGCATTATATATACATACATACTAGGATGCTATAGAATTCAAATACATATAGTTCCATCAAGTATCGCGATCGAAATAAAATTATAAACACCATCGAATGCTTATTTGATGAAAAAATAGCATCTTTTTGGTATAGGTCGTATCATATCTGTTCAATTGAAACGACTGGTTTAGCATTTTTCATTTAATTATCCTATCCTACTGTCTCAATTATATCCATTGGAAACTTTGCGAAGACTAGCTTTATTAAAGTTAGAAATACTCCCCAGAAGAGCAGCTCGTTCATTGGTCACCTTAGGGACGTTGTCAACCAAGTTAATAGGTTGCGATGGAGGCGGTGGGACAGCACCCTTAACAGGACCTCCATTACTGTGCGGCCCATCTACAGAACCTTAAGTTAGATAAATTGTAATTTCCTTTATTTTTACAGAATCGCTTGGATAACACCTTACAACGCCTACTCTCATTGAATAATATACATCTACGTAACTACAGACAACAAAATAACCAAAATACATCTACATAACTACACGAACAAAAACCAAATCATAGGACACTGCCACTGCATTACTACGAAATACATTTACAACGTATCCAAGCGATAATTAAATAAAATGTATGAACGTGTATGTTTCAGTGATGGTATGACCTACGTGAGAGAAATAAACGTAGTATGCGCCATCAACTTTTGTGTCCAGCTAATGTAAAGATTCGAAAGATCGATCAATGTTAGTTATTAGTAGCATTTAATTGTTACATAATTTTATACTTACGTAGCGATGGTGGAGTCAAGGTGCCAACGCTAGTTGCTGTGGAAGTACTTGTAGGACTTTCTGAACGCTCCGGACTCTTGCCGTTCACGTGTTTCATTCCATTTGTACCCAACTGGTTTGCGGATCGTTGTTCTTGTGCTAACTTCTGTTCTTTTTTCTGCACAAAGAGGAAACATCGGTCAATTTCAATGTCTGAATATCACCTTAAGACGATACTCACTAATTTCTGTTTTCGTTTCTTCATTTCTTCTTCTGAACTCATCATTTCTTGAACTTTGACAAGCCTTTTCTGATGTCTAGCAACTTTTTGTTCGTCCTTCAATCTCTGTTCTGCTTTGTTCACCGCTTCCTGTAGTGCTTCCTTCAAATGACTGCTCAATTTGAAATGTGGCTTTTCTATTGAACCGACCGCCATTGCGGCGCGTCTTGCTCCCTCGAAAAACGGATGTTCCAATAGATGATGTATCGTTGGTAGATCTTGTTTCAAAGCTTCGGGTGACAGAATCACCTCTAGCAGACTTCTAAGGGTTGCATCGCAATGTGGTAATTCTGAACAGGTTGCCTCTAACAATGGCCTTCCAAATGCCATTTCATACAGTACATGTCCAAACGAGTAAACATCCACCTGCGTCTGTTAAAAGAAATTACATATTGATATATGAAATTCATAAATTTGTGAATCATTAAAGTTGTCAGCATACTGTAGCGTGAAGTTTACGTCTTTGTACAACGTAAGGCCGATAAAACGCAGGCAAGCCTAAGAGACCATTTTCTATGTCGAATAATTTTGCGCATCGTTGAGTTAGAAGAATATTGCCCGTATGCAAATGACCGTAAGGTAGGCCTTTCTCGTGAAGGAACCCTAGAGCTTCCAAAATCTAAAATAAAAACTTTTCTCCTATAGAATACCTTAATTTATCATCTCGGTATTTATATACTAACCTGATGACCATACATCGCGATTTCAGGCACTGTTAACGATTTAGTTTGTTTCGGATTTCCATATTTTTTGATAAAAGGTTGTTTAGGTTTAGTTACGCACAAAGTGTCACGCAATGTACCCGTCGGATGAAAGTTCCTTATCATTAACGCTCCACTTTCTGTTACGTGTTGATAAACAATTGGTTCTATATAACTGTGTTTTAACGTTCCTAAACTTTTGAAGACACCTTGCATATCTTTGTCCTGTAGATGTTTATCAGGGCCAAATTCCACCCAGGCAAGTAGCAATTCTTGCTTCGGATTCTGACGATTTTTAACGGTATAATAATGCTTCCTCAACCGCCAGCCCATGTCAGGAATGGCCTTACAAACTTCAAAATTTGCATCACTGCGCAGGGCTAGCGACACCTGTTGCAGCGCTATTTCTAAAAAATTACGAGAATCTACATGAAATATATACAAAAAATTATACAATTCATAACAGTACTATTTAATTAGAACTTTCTCTCTATATCTGTTATGTATTTATACATGTATACAACTTACTTTCAATCACATTATTACATTCATTAAACAGCTTTGATTATTATAATTAGATCATACCATGTAAGGGTGCAGTGTAATTATCCGGATCTAAGAATTTTTTCATAGGAAGAGACGATGCCAATATAGGATTCATTAGTATATTGTTTAGGTAATTCTGAAAACAATAACAATATTATGACACACTAGTACTTGATGATTAGCTTTTTTATTCTGCCCCAATATACCTGTAGTGCCACTTGACGTTGAGCTATGAAGTCTGGTTCCATATTACCAATAATTTTCTTTGGAGGAAGTGCCAGGTCAATGCCTGATATAGATAAAGCTCCATTGAGCTGTACAAAGTCATTGTAACGCCTGCTAACTCTCCAAGATTTTTCTGGAATTGGACCTCTTTGTGTTTTAATTACGTATTCCTAAATTTACAAAAAGTAATTTTCCATTAATGGTTTACAAATATAAAATTTTTGGATATAGGTGCAATAAGTTGGTTCCAAGAAAAATTGAAATAGATTAAGGTATTTGGTTCATAAAGAAAAAGAAGGATCGAGAATGTCTACGTAATAAACGTTAGTACCCTTCATTCAATTTAGCGACATGAGATTGGAGCGAAATCCCGATGTATATAAACTTCACCTTTTATCGAGCAAATGTCAAAATGTACACGTTAAGCGTGCGCCGTACCGTATGTCCGTCGATTGTTCTTGCATTTTCAATGACGCTCGTCAACTTTTCTGTATCATCTAGCAGCACTTTATTCGTATATCGTTTCTCAAATAAAGCCATTGATCATTAATCCGACGGAATGCAGAGCCCGTGCGGGGCGAACTGCGTATCTCTATCGCATACTTTCCGTGAGTCGCCATACATGACGTATTTCTCCTTCATTTCAACATTGGCGAATGTGTTGTACGCTTGTTATAAACAGTTCAATACCACCCAACAAACGTACTAATATCAATGTGATTCGTTAAATGATTCGAATAATCAAATTTCACGAATTTCCTCTCAAGATTCAACACCCATCTCTCACTATCTTATTATGTACATACATACATCGGTAACTACATATAAAAAAGACCGGACATGCTTTTGTTCTCGAAAGGACACGATTTATGGGGGTCCTAGACACCCCCGGATGGGGAAAGGCCTCATGGTTGAAAACTTTACCGACAGTTCCTAGAATAATCCCTAGAGACGAGAACACAAGGACTAGACATAAACTGTAACATTTATTTAAAAAAAAAAGATATAAAGTTGAAATAGACTTTAATTGTTAATAAATGCAGCATGTATATACAATATAATATTAATATACATATGTATTTATAAACAAATTACGAAAGGGATACATAAAATAGTTACTCTTTGCATTCGTACAGTTTCTTATATGATTAATAGTTGTATGTATAGTATAAACATAAATGGCAGTCATATTTGTCATGGAAATTAAATGCTTTGTTTCAATATCATTATGAAGATTACTTAAGTATATTTCATTCCCTTATAGATCTTCAATTTCTGTTATGGCACTCACAAATCTTCCCGCTCTTTCGATTTGTTTACGTTCTGCTGGTTAAATACAATAGTAGAGTCTTCTGTATCACTAACATATCCCTGTTCCCCAGTATAATGTGTGGGGTAAATTAATAAAGGATTTGCAGAAAGAATGATTAAATCACGCTTTGGATAATGTACCTTCCAATCTTTTCTATATGAAAAAAAAACCAAAAAAAAAGCAGAAATAACTTGAATACGTAATACAATTAATAAACGTATCAAATATCTTTCAAAATGTTAAATCTGATTTCTTTTACCTAGGATGAACATCCGATAATATAGGAAGATACTCATCGACGGGTATTAATTTTTTCAATGGCATTGCTTCCACGAGTCTTTTTGCTCCTCTTGCCGATAAGATATATCCTAATGTCCAATAACTGTAGGCAGCATGCACCAAATATTTCGATCCATCGACCCAAGGTTCATTATTTTCAATCAATCTTTTTCTTCCCAAATAACTAATACATGATACATTAATTTAATGTACTACAATTGAAATTAGGTTGTCTATTGTTTAAAAATCAATCACTTACACTAAATCCCATTCAAGTTGAAGGCTATTCAATTCTGCTAATATGTAATTTACTTTTTGTCGAAAAAATGGTTCAAAACGAACGTCGTCTTCTAATATTATAGCATTTTTGTAACCATTCTGTATTACCTAATAATTTTCCAGGAGTATAATTCAAAATAAAAATTAATATAACTTCAAGTTGTGAAAAAAAACGCTTAGTTAAAAAATTTCGTAATTACCTTGTTCCAGATAGCATAGTGACTTAAGAAACAACCAACTTCGCCCATAGTCATTGGTCTACGATATTTTTTGTTTCATCATTATTATTGTTTATGATTTAATACATATATATTTGATGTCACGAGAGTCCATAATTGCGAAAAGACCAGTTTTCGTTCTTTTCTGCGCAGCGTCGCTCTGATTGGCGATACTCCCAGACGAAGTGGAAAGCGATTGGCGGAGAGCTCGCTGCGTTCCCCCACCATCCTCCAACCTGCGCGTCGTTGGTTATGGACTCTCGCGGCATCAAGTAGTTTGTCCTATAACATACTTACCGCTCATGATAAGGATCAGTGTATTCTGGCATCATTACTATTCCCAATTTATGAAGAACAGTTTCGTTTAATGTCCTATAAAAATAAACACAACAAGGATGAAATTCAATTATTAATATTTAAGATAATATTTAAAATTTCAAAGGTACAAAAAATACACTTACTAAAATTTACATTTTCATCGCGACTTACCTACCGTCAATGGCATCAATAGTTTCCGCTCGAATGCCGAGTTCTTTAAAGAGTTTATGCATTCTGTCGCGTCTCTCTTGCCTCCTTAAAAGATTTATCATATAAATATGGTCTACCTGTAAAGTATCTTCCGCGGGATATTGAACAAAATGTTCTAGATATGTCGATAATGGAAGATAATTACTGTTTGCTAAAAACATACAAGATATGTATATATTAAATAAGATTTGTTTTCTTGTTTATGCTTGAAATTCAGCTTTTCTTCTCGTTGGAGGACGACTTAACTCACATAATATTTCTGTTTTAATGTTTATTAGTCGCTGTATATCTTCCGCAATTGTTTCTGTTTCTTCTAATGGAACTATAATATTCCCGTAAATATTGTCATTGCAAATAAATAATGGTACACCTATAATAGGGACAAAGTAAATTTTATTGGTCGAGACTTAAAACGCAGAAAGTTGTTAAAGCTATATATAACGCTAATTTACCAGACTTGTTAGCTCCGACCGCAAAAGTTATAATATCATCCGTAGGGCCATCGTAGTGATTTAAATTTTTTGGATCATACGTTAATCGATCCGAAAGATGTGTTCTTAAATCTATAAGAACAGCGCTATGAATCATAGGTACATCAAAACATCCTGTTTCTTCCCGAAACAATATCGGTTCGTATTTATCTGTTCTCAGATAGTAATAATCACTTGTCATTCCGGCCCAAAAATTGCTGTACAAACCATCGGATTTTAATAATGGGGCAACCGCAGTCTGATTCTTTAAGATCAATTCATTCAAAGTATTCGCATTTGTTAAAAAAACATCTGCATCCAGCATCTGAAATGTTGCGTTAAAAAATTAATAAAAAAATTTTCATGAAGAAATAGTAATGATATCTATACCCAAACAAAATCTGCCCAGATATTTCTACCCGCGTTCAGCGCGTCTTCCCGTAACTTTATCACGTGTAAAAATCTTTGTGTTGACCAATGAGCAATTCCATTTTCATCTTCGAATCCAATTGATTTTTCATTAAAATTTGTTTCAACTCCATGGTATTCATTGGCTGTACGACTAAGCCATGTAGATAATACTTCTATTGATTTATCGATATTGTTATCACTGCGTATCCTTAAAAAAATGTTATATTAAAAAGACATAATTTATCATGTACAATATCGAACATAGTCAGTTTCCACAGAGAAGCAGAAATTCTCAAAACCTTAATTTTGACGATATTAATAATAAAAAAACTTAGAAAAAAGATAACAATGTTTAATTATCAAACATGCTCGGTACTATAAGATTTTTATCGGTTGTAAAGGAATTTAAACGGGAAAAATCGATTAAGTTCAGTTATCGATCTATCGAATTATTGTTAAGTGCGAGATATTTTAATGCCCTTTCATATTCATCTACTAAGCCATGAAAAAATACGCTTAGTTAAACTAGCAAATATTAATAATAGAAAGTATGTACAACATCCTTTATTTAAACGTAGTACAAAATGATCTCGAAATATTTTTGATGTTTTTAATATTTAAAATATAAAAGTTATTATTTACTACATTGTTGTTAAGACAGATCTTATTAAAAAATGTTTCCTTTTTTCAGCAGTTAATCAAAAATAGGTTATACACGAAAAGTGAGGTTACTTACCATAGATGTATTCGTGATTTTGGATAATTCAGTTGTTCCAAAAAGGTTAAAAAATATGGTAATGTATGCGCTTTGTTACGTACTAATATGGCTATTAACACTGATGGTTTTTTTAAATCTCTACCATAAATTATTAGAAACATAGTAACAATAACGAAAGTAATGTGAACTAAATTTATTAATTTCATCTTTATTATTGACTCGATTAACACCTTTTTACGTTTAAATATGATTTAAAAATATAAAACACTAAATAATATAAAATGTTAGATCGACGTTTATTCTTATCTTCATCATTCTGATCAAATTTTACCACCCACGTTTAGAGCATGTATTTAGTCGATAAAGCGGTAAACTGTTCGTATTGTTTCTCTGACTCAGATGAGATATAAGATAGATTTATCATGGAATTCGTGTTATATTCTACTATACCATTTACGATTAGTATTCTATTTGAATGTATATACTTAAGTATATAATACATATGTATGTACTTACGTACAGAGAACCCCTCTTTAGGCCCATTTTTGCCGGTAATGTCACTTCGCTACATTACCCGTGTCTACCCCCTTAATTATCTATCAAATAATACGAGCGAATTGGCTGTGAGATTTGTGGTCTGCTATATTTTTTCGTTAAGTTTTGCAATTTCTGCATTTTTGCATAGGCTTATTGACCAAGTTAGACACCAACGACATACTATTATATAAGTACTTTTTATTTATCAAATAAAAAGTTTGTTTTTATGATAATAATATAAAACACAAAGAAACCTATATAATATAAAAAATGTATGTTTGTACAAGAAAGTTTAACAATATAATATTTATTTAATACTTTTTAAAAAAGTATTCTTTTATAAAGTCTTTTTACTATCCGTTTCTACTGAATGCTTTTTTGTTGTGGATTTTTCCTTCTCTTTTAACTTCATTTTTGAAGAATAGCTTAGACTTGACTTATCAAATTCTAGTACCATGATACCTAAATCTCCGCTATATCTATTCTTGGCTACCTACAATCATATACCCTTTTTAATAATCAGATCTTTGTCATATTTTGTTTCCATATACATACTTACTTGCAAGTACTTTTTGCCTCGGATACTTGTAAGTCTCTTGTCCTGAATAATAAGCACATTATCTGCCTCTTGACTCGCTTTTGCACTCCCAAAAATTGAAGAGGTTGTCAGTTCCTCGTCGTTACGTTCCTTTCTTGGATGTATTATTGCAGTTACATGACAATTGTGTTTAGTGGCAAAGTTTCTAAATCTTGATATTATATTATCTTGTTTCCAAAATCTAGAACACGACAGTACTATTCAATATAACAAAGAAATACATTCTATAAAAGAATAGTAATTTTAGTACCTATCTATGTGTTTTGAATCGTCCGCCGTTCCCATCATAAATTGAACATTGTCAATTACTACGTGAGCTATGTCATGAACATACGTTGCGTGTTCAACTGCCTACAACAAGAATTATTGCTTTTTTTTAAATATATTAAGGAACACCATATAATAACATTATGCATATACCTACATCCATCACTACTTTGATATTTTGTTGACCATGAAATGTCATAAAATAAATTGGCAATTTCTCAAAAGCATCTGCATACACATTAAAATTTTCCAAATTTTGATCTAATGGTACACCTACCATTTGTTGTAACATTGTTTTCGCTAATCGTACGTTTCTTATTTCAAAACTACCCCATAGAGTACTCACATCTTGCATTGCTAAATCTAAAGAATATTCACTCATGAAAGTTGTTTTACCGCATCCTAATGTTAAAAAAAATAAATAAATAAATAAATTATTACATATAAAACTCAAGATTAGAACTTGTTTCATAAACGCTTTAATAGTTTTTTGTTACCTGTTGGTCCTGTTAGCACTGTGAATTCCCCTCTTCTGTGACCTTTTAGTATACGATTTAAAGTTGGATATTTTTTCCATTTTACACCCTGTACTTTATCAATATTTTGTAAATCACTCAATACTTCTTCCCTAAGGTGATGAAAGGTAATTATACTTTTATGCCATACGGGTTGAGCATTTTGAAGAATACTTTTAAAATCATAACCAATTTCGGCGGCTAATTTTGGCCGAGGCTGTGAATCTGTTGGTCTAATAAAATAACATCGTTTATCATTCAGCTTTTTTGCAAAATGCCTTGCAGTGTACCAACTTGTTTCATCATTTCCAAACCATAAAATTAATTTCTTAAAAGATTCCATGCAAGGTAATAACTGTTGAGGTAAGCTTTTTAAATTGTAGGGAAGACAGATGATGCTGTTTGTTAACTTTTTTGATATTAAAGCTAATAGATCATCTATCATTCCAACGACCACAGCAACATTGTCGCTTTTACTATTATATTTCTTGTATTTAATACATCCACCGACACCCAAGGCTGGGACAGTTTGTTCTATTCCTGCTTCAGTGGTAAGCACTTTATATCCAACTATAGAGTTGTTTAAACCTATCAATGGGAAATATATTACATTGGTTACCTTCTCATAAAAACAATTTAATTGAGATATATCTTCTTGTAAAACATACTGTAAAAATAATTATGTTTTATCATTTCATCAGAATTTAAATAAAAATGAAGACAGTTCTTTTTATATTCTTACAGGAAGCGAAAAATTGTTGAGAAGCATATTATATTCTTCTATGGACATATCTGCAACATTTTGACAGTTCCTTATCTTCTCATTCCATTCTTCTTCAAAATTTTCTTCCAAATGACAAGTTGCTCTTAACATTTCCAGCTCTTTTAATTTATCATTAGACTTTTTCATTGATAAAAATTTCTCTAGTATATTCCATGAACCAGTAAATTTGCACTGATCGCACATAAAGAATCCTATAATTATTTCAAAGTAAAATGAAATGATTAATTTTAAAGTTTAATATCAAATTGTATACATATTTTTATAACATTTATTTAAAAGTCATATCTACCTGTTGTTTTATTTACATAAATTTTCGAACCTTTTTTAGTATCATTACATATTGGACAGTCTGCTATAATACATGTATATCCTTCTGTTACATTTAAACATTGTTGCTTAAAACTATATTTCAAATGTGATATGGATATGTTCATTGTAGACTCTTTTGTATTCGTGTGAATACACTGCTTCCTGATAGAACTTCTAATATGTTGTTTTTGCTTTTGAATACAAGTTCGTAAAAATAATTTTATAAACATTTTATAAATGAAATATAATTACTTGCTGGATATATTTTTTTAAATAAATATTAATATTCATAATATTGTATGTATATATGTACAACATGCACTCGTCTCTGTACAAAAAATAAAATTACTAAACAATGAATTAAGATTATTTACACAAATTTGCTAATACGTATTATAGATACACGTGGTTTGTTTAACACGTGAGAATTTTTCATGGATGAACGTTTCTTGACAGCAGTTTATCAGTTTGTTAAGTAATGTATTTAGAAAATGCACGTTACTTAAATTAAACTTTGTTATAAAAACTTGAACAATTATACTAATGTAATACTTAATAATCTACTATTTTGTGAAGTAATTGGGTTTATGATAACCTTCAGATACACTGAGTTTCATAAAATCGTAATAAGAATTTTGGTTACTTTTTATGGGATAGAATCTGATAGTTGTATCAAATGAGCTATTTTTAATGTGATATAAATTTGCAAATGTCATTTTGATAAAAAAAATCATGTCTTAAAAGTCGAAAAATTGTGTCTAATAATATATATATGTATTAAACTATAGATGATATATTAAACTATATATATTTACATATATATATCGCAGTTCACCAGAGTCCATAACTGCGAAAAGACCAGTTTTCGTTCTTCGCGCTTCTCCAGTGCGCATCTTCGCTCTGATTGGCGATACTCCCAAACGAAGTGGAAAGCGATTAGCAGAGAGCTCGCTGCGTTCCCCTACCATCTTCCAACCTGCGCGTCGCAGTTATGGACTCTGGTGAACTGCGGTATATATGTTCACATACTGTGTATTTCAGTACTGATTCTTACTTCTACAAATTGGCCAATATTAGTTATTAGTGGTAGGAGAAGAAGAATATTCATAGATTTATAATTTATTTATAAGTCCTGTTGACAAATTAAGAACAAATTAAAAGAATTAATTGTAAAAATATAAATAGGTATGTGAAATTAATTGTAAATGAGGTATTACATTTCTTTAAAAATATTTATTTTTTATTACATTCTGTCTGTTGAGAGCCCAACATAACAAAATAAGTGATTTATTTTATACATGTTTGTATACCTTCTTAAAATTGTATACAGTTTGAATTTACATATGTATATCAGTGCTGTGTAATGTTATTAATTCATGGTTGAGTTTATAAAATTGAGTATACAAATTTAGCTTCATTTTAAGGTTCATTATTTTTCTTTGGTGGATTATAAAATGAAAGTTTAACCTCTTCTTGCCTATAGAGAAATTAAAGTAACATTAATATATTATATACTTTTTCAGTTACATGTTACAGAAATAGAAATGATCAAATGCAGGACAATATAATTTTGTTTGATTTTATTCTTTAAAAGTTATTAAAGTTATATTATATTAACTTGACAATTAAAACATAAGATACCACAGGAACAGTTAATATATATATATATATCTTTTGATAACAAAATGTTGTTCTAACATTACCCTTCAGTTGTATCATTGGTTGTATTATCCGCATCTGTTAGAATACCAATTTCATATACTACTGCTTTTATGACATATCTATAACATAAAGAACATTTATATGTGATACATACATATATATATACATATATGTTAGTGAAGATACTAGATAATAGGAAATTCTTACAAATCATCAGCAGTTGAATTATTTGATGACAATGTAGTTGTATCAAAGTCGGTTGTAGGTATAGACAAGGTCATGCTTAATTGCACAGATATATAAATTAAAAGTAAGATGAAATATAATACTCGAGGAACTTTAAGATCTCTATTGATTTCTGTGTCACACAACATTTTCAACAGTACTTCCCCTTTCATATGCGAACACTTTTATAGTGGATGATGGTACCTTGTTAGCGCTACTCCCTCTTCATCTTATAAACATAACATGTCATTATATGTATTTTCATGTTGTTCATAAGTGGAAGTGGAAAATTTGCAAGAAAAAATTCTACTTAAAGAATATAGTCAAAGTGCTTACAAGGACTGCAAGACGTATAATTTAAAAAATTTTACTGAGATGATAGTGAAAAAATAGATGTGAAATTATCAAAATACTATCTAACAATGTAAGCTTATAAAATTAATTAAAAATGAATTTAACTGTTAAATTATTATCAAATTACCATTTGAATCATTTATTATAAATATATGTATAATATAATGTAATATAATGTAATTTTATAATGCATAACACATATATATATATATATAAATGCAACAATGTCTATGAAATATTTTTCTGGTAAGTTGTAGCATAGCACATATTAGGTTTCGTACTTATTAGATTAACGCTGAAGTGCGAAAAAAAATGTTTTATACGACCGCGTTATACATAGATATCTATTTGGAATGAATTCGTTTAAATATTCTATATATAAATACTATTTTCAAATCATAACGAAAAAGTGACTAATTAAATAATTTTATAAATAAATAAATAAAAACGACAATTAGAAATTATAATATTCATTGTATTAAAAAAATTAATTGTTGGTATTTGAACTAAGAAGTGCATTGTATAAATTGTAAGCTACTTTTTAACAAATTGTAACACAATGTTGGTTACATTATAAGTAATTGTATGTAATTTTTATTCGGTGATCGGATTGTATCTTGTACTTTACACATCTATATGTATATATGCATAGTTGTTCTTCATACTCTGGGTTTGACTGTCTTACACGTAATGTACGTATTTATTATATATCAGTTGAAAGAATTTAGTAAAAAGATTAGATTTGTATGTAGTTTGACAAAACTTAGTTGGCTCTTATTGTTAGTGAATTCTATTTATTTTTGAATACTATATATACATGTTCCATTTTACTCAAAATTTTTTAATTCAATGTAATTTAATATGGGTGCATTTTATATATCTATAATACCATATAAATAGTATACGTAGTATTTTTTTATTCGTAAAGTATATTATTTATTTCATGTATTAAAATACTACTATTGATTATGAATATCACTCCAGAATTCTGAATAATTACGTATCTGTATATAATATATATAATACATATATGTATATCCATATATATGTATACTCCATCTGTCATTTCTTTGTAGATCGTTTGAGGTTATAACGAGAGTAAGTATTTAAGTTCATATCAGATGATAGCCTAATGATCGATAATATTACGCAAACTGTGCATGATGTATCAAGAAAATGAAGACAACGTTAAAATTATTCAACAACTGGTAAATAGTTATGGTTAAAAATCGATGACAATCTTTTATGTATTACTTTCAACTAATTGATGTTGAAAAAAAATAACAATTGTTTTGGAGCAGAATTAAAAATTATCAATAAATTGTAGATTCCTGGTGCTACGCTGGAAAATCTACAAGCCTTTCACAAATGTATGAGTACAGATGCTGTTTATAAATCTGGTCTACCTTGTGGAATAACATCTGGATTAATGTTTCATTTTCTACTTCCTAAGAAATTAGGAGCTATAAAGCCTGTGGTAACAGCCCTTTCAAGTTTTACAGCATTTCTGTGGGGAAAAATAATATATAGTCCAATATGTAAAGAGAGGGTATTTGGTCCAGGAGATGTATTTGCTGGCAAACTCCAAGAAAAAAGGTATTATCTAATATATATATATATATTGTTATACAACATTAATCTTCATTTGTTATAAAATTGTTTAATTTGCGTTTAGAGATTTGCACGATAATTCCAGTTATGGTGGTAGTACCAATCAAGAAGATCAAGTAAATAGACTCACTATTTCTTCTGACAAATTGTTGGAAGATGATTCGTCGTGGAGTAATTTTGATCCTTTCTTAGATAGTAATGGTAAGTATACCGAAAATAAATAATAAAATTTTTTTGTTCACTGGAATGATTATTAATTTTATTTTCAGTGAGCCACTTTAATGATACAAGTAACACTTTTCCAGAAGAATTAACAACAGAACAAACAACGGATGTAAAACAACGTGTAACGTATGATGATCTATGGGCACAACATAGAGACAGTCAGATGAATCCAAAATATAAAGATTTTAGGGGGTACAATCTAGTTTAAACAGTCACATAGGAAATATAATTTATCGAGTTTTTATAGTTACTTAATATTTCAACTGTCAGACATAAGCTTTCGATAGCATTAAACAGCTTATATTCGATTCTAAAGTATACAATTTTATTTTCAGCAGTAGAGGTATGAATACACAGAGATCGGCGGTACCACCCCAACGAGAGTCAGAAAAAACAGCACCTCCGGAAATGACATATGATGAAAAGAATATTTGGAGTTGAATAAAATGACATGTTTTATATAATTTTTTAGGATTCGTACACGATACAGTTTTGCGTAACTGTTGCGATAGAATAGATTCCAATAACAATAAAATGCGCTGTTGAATAAAACGTGTAGTAATACTCTTTTTCACTGCATCCTTTTGAAACGAATTCGGCCGAGAACAGTGAAGATAATAGAAAAATTGTTTTAATGCAAATTAAGTACAATCTTGCAATATAGTAATTTGTTTTCTTTCACCTGGTCGAATGTAGTCAACATTTTTTTCGTTAGTATTTAATGTATATTTAATAATAATTTTAATTTATTGCTAATTGCTCTAATTTATTCTGCTATCAAAATAAATAAAAATCATTGTTTAAAACTTAAACATAATTAATTCAGCTTTTTTATGCTTTTTCTAGATAGATCTTCGTAATCATATTGTGCGAGTGGTTGACACTATATTAATTACAATTAAATAGCCAATAATGTTAATTGCTGAGATGAAAGGACGTGTCAAAACAACTACATAATTAAACTTGAACTAGTCTGTTTCTGGTCAGGATGCTCATATACCTAAGTAAGTTCTTACATACATATACAGTACCTATGTCAACTATCGATCTATGCAGACATGTGTATACATATATGTACCTAAGTAGTTATAGTTACGTTCATTTGCTATAAATAATGAAAAATTAGTGGACAATAAGATAAGTTTGTAATTTCTTTCGGGATATTAACGCGACTGTGATTCGAACGATCTTCAATTCTTTTGCTCGATCACGTTTTGAATCCGTTACCTATCCGTGTAGCGTCAAACAGTATACCGTTTACGAATTGCAAAATGATCGTACCACACGATATCTTTCAATTGATTTGTGGATTTTGTTGCATGATTATTTAGTTTTTAACTTAAATATGAAACGATCTGATTTTAATCATTGCGCGATCTTGGTCACGAAAGTTCGCCATTTTGTTAAGGTTCCGAAACAGAACACTTGAATTTGTAATAATTTAATAATAAATTATAGATTTATTTTACGAAACATGTCAACAAAGTAAGGCAATGAACAGATTTATTAAATAATTAAATTCTTTATATGTAGTTTTTGATATAATTCGTATGAAACATTGGAAAATTATTGATTTGTACGGAGATGTCTTAACTATACGAAATACCTACTAAATATTATTTGCACAATCAAATTGATCAAATGTATTATAATTAAATGTGGGTGATTATCGACTATGCTTTTTCTATTGAAAGCATGTTACGTTTTCTCGATTGATTCGATTGAAATAAATCAAGTAAATTGTAAAGGAAAGGGAAAAGGAAGAAAAGAAGGCGGGAGGGAAGCGTGTGGTGGGATGGGATGAGGGGGATGGTAATGGGGGATGGAGAGGCTTAAAGAAAATTGTACATTTACACATAAGGACACATGGTTCAAACTTTACCGAGTCGAACGGACTCGTGTTTATCTGGTGTTTATCGGTGTCGAGATTTAGGTGGCGAACTTGCGCGGAATCGCGCAAAGAGGGCCGCATACAGTCAGCCATTGGCTATCGGAACCGACCAATGGGCGAATACTCCCATTCATAAGTTGCGTTGCTTCCGTGCTGATAGTGGGGATTCGTCTGGTCGGTGATGCAACAGGAATTCTACTTCGTCGCTTCCATGACCCCGCGGATCGAATCGACTTTTGACAAGTTACCTAGCCACTTTATTGCATTTTCTCTTTTAAATTCTCTTTCAGCCCCCTTGGATTTTAACACAAACAACTTTTCGCTCTCATGGATGAAACGTTGGGAAAAGGAAACTAAACAAACAATCGAGAGTTTGCAGAGATTATACCGTAAAAATGTTGGCGAGAAGAAATAACAAAAAGAAAATTATCATATAATAAATAGGTATATTAATATAGTTTAATATAATTAATATAGTTAACATAATTACGTACTAATTTTCTAATTCTTGTATTTCAGCTTGTAAAGTGCAATACTTGATGCGAGGTATTTAAAAAAAAGAACTTTTGTTTATTTTGCATCCTTTCTTTCAACGAATACATAGTTACAATTAGTTGCAAATGGAACGAGTTGCGATTGAAATTCTTTTCGTATAAGCTTTTTGGAAAATTTTCTTTTCAATCAGGGTTAGAATGAAAAAAAAGTCTGACGATTAAAAATCCGTGGTAAGACGATCGTCGATTACGATTCACCCGTCCGCTCGGTTTAAATGATCGCGCGTAGGAAAAAGGGGAGTCATGCAGGTGCAGGTCATGTGAAATATTTGCACTTTGTCGTAATTTGCGTAACTCGTTGCATATATAATAAATCCGCAAAGCTAAAGCGCCACGATAGAAAATCGTTTCACAATCTAAAGAGAAAGGGAATCTCTGACACCGTGGGAGGGGAGAGATTCGAGATGCTTATTGCCGTCTACCTATATTACATACGTAAGTATCTACATACAAGTAGTACATTGCGCTTCGTCCTGCTCCAAATTCGATCAGATTCGAAGTATTTTTTTTTACCATTGATCGTTAGTTTGACGTTTGTTTGCAAAACAGAAAGCACAACCGTTGGATCAAAAGCAATACTATGAGTGTTTTTTCTTTTTTAGCGTGAAGGTAAAAAGGTTATCATCCCGATTGTCGATTCTCGATGAAGGTGATGCCGAACGAAATAAGAGAGAAGACATTAGCGGTTGTGGTGTATATAAGGTGACGTCAGACGAGCGTTGGCGGAATGGTTATGGCCGTTCCCGTTGTCCGAGTAGAAGATGGGGAGAAGAAGAGACGAAGACGGAGGATCGTGTCCACGAGCCGCACGAGCGCAACGGGACTGGACAAAGTAAGTAAAAGAGAAGTTCCGCGGTGCGCGTTTCCGCGGCTTCAGCCATGGCCGTACGAAAAATTTGCGACCAGTCTCCATTGTGAAGAACACAGCAGGAAGATGTTGGAAGTTACGTAGAAAATTGAAAGAGTAGGAAAAATTAAGGCCGGGATAGAAAAATTGGTTTCGATGTTCGTAAAATTTCAACAAGGACGTCAGAGGGTTAGAGACGCGACGCAAGGGTCGATACCGTGTCGAGAAACAAGGTAAAAAATGGGGCAAAAGACGAAGCAACGATCGAGGTGAAGTGTGCCAAAGTCGTGGATGGAAGGAGTCATTTGATAGCTCATAGCGATAATCGTGTTCTCGAGAATAAATAACACCGTCTTGTTTAGCGATTCGAGCGAAATGGAGATCGAAAACGAGCGACTTTTCGAGAGGAACGAGGCGAAGGTGAAAAAGGAAAGAGGGCGGGTGTACACAAAGAGATAGATGGAGAGAGAGAGAGAGATAGGGGGGTGGGGGCACACACATACACATACAAAGAGAGGGAAAGAGATTATAATTTGACGAAGAAGAAGGAACGACGAACAGGCGAAGGGGTGGGAGACAAAGTGAGAGGGAGGGACAGAGAGGACAACGGAGGAAAGAGTCTGTCGTGGATAAAAATGTAACGAGAGGAAAAAGGAGAAGGCACCGAGGATGAAAAGAAAGAGACGATGGTAGTAGAGTAGCAAAGAGGATGAGAGCAATACTAGAGGGGAAGATGAAGGTAAGGAGCGAGAGGGAAGATAAACGACGCGACGGGACGGGGGCGTGTTTGATGGCCGGCTAGACCGCTTGGATCGGTCGCGCCTGGGGCGTGAGCCAGCCAGAAGCAAAAGCCAGAAGTGTAGATATGCGAGGGTAAAGAGTGAAAGGGAGCGATCAAGTCAGTGAAAAAGAATGAGAAACGCGAAGAGCGTGTATACGAGATAGAATGAGATAGGGTCACGTAGACAGAGAGAGAGAGAGAGAGAGAGAGAGAGGACGGGAGAGAGCAAAAGAGAGGGAGATCCTGCGAGAAGAGCATGGTCCGTGGAGGGCTGCGTTCACCAGGCAGTTACTCCGGAACTGTTGCCTTGACGACACGCATTCGCGCATGCGCGTAGGTGACATCAGGAGTGTGCCAGTATCGCGTTGCGAGTACCAGTTGCGTTCGCCACCCTTGTTTCCACTACCACCGCTACCACCACTTTTCCTCGCCTCTATTGCTATCCATTGGAACCACTACCATCTTCGCTACCACCACCGCTAATATTTCACCACCGTTGCCACTACCGCCACTGCCACCACCGCCACTATTTCCATCATTATCATCATCTGTATTTACTACCACCACCATCGTCATCACTTGTCATCGTTACCACCACCGCTGCTGCTGCTGACGCCTCGCCGTCATAGTTGCTGTCGTTGTTATTGTTGTTTTTACGTCGATACTTTGGAACGTGTTTCTCCTGCGTAACCGTTCCTGTTACTCGTAATTATCTCCAAATGATTTTACGTATCCATTAATTGGTTCGTTCCTCTTTGTCGCTCTTTTAACTACGTTATTAAAAATAGACCGAACAGGAAAAGATTAACGACGCGTTAACGAAAGCGTGTGCTATTATTAACTAGGAAGGTTGTTTGATCGAGTCGATTTATACCGGTGGACTGTCATCGCACATGCATGTTTCACCGTCGTCGTCATCGTCATCATCATCGTGGTCGTGGTCGTGGTGGTGGTGGTGGTGGTCGTCGCCGCCGTGCTCCTTTCGATACGGTAGTGGTTAAAATCCATTAAACCTTACGGCACCTCTTCGAGACTACCCTTCAACTTCCTCATGGTAATCGCATAATTCGACCTTCGTTTCTCTCTTTCGGTGTTTTCTCTTTCTCCGGCTCCACCTCCACTACTACCACCACCACTACCACCACCTCCACCTTCATCTCCACCTCCATCTCCTCCTCTTGCTCCTACCCCTTGTGATTCCTCTCCTACGCCGTCGCGTTCTCCACCTCTTCCTCTTCGTTCGCCGCGTTTCGCTACTACGAGTGTTCGGTTGTCATGCGTCGACGGTGTTCGTGATAAGACGCGACCGTATCAACCGATCAGCGATCGATCTGTCAATGTTTCGTTGCTTGTAACTTATTCGACCGCTAGTGATTTTGGAACGGAAGCTTTTGCTAAATATCGTTCGTTGATCGTTGATCGTTTATCGATAATGCGGCTATGTCAAGTGTTGACATATGACATCCAGTTGATTTCGTT